TATATATATATATATAAATAATCAACCAGTTGTCCGAATCTTTTTGGTGTGACTTCGGTGTCAAATTCGTCTCTTTTGTCGGAAATTTAGTTTTATGATGCATTAATCATTACAAAAGCTATTTTAACTAGTATATATGGTTTTTTTAATAAAAAAATATCAAAATAATACAGGAAATTAATAAATAAAATACTGAAGATTTCTATTGGGTTCTTCTCTTCCAGTCCAACTTCCCTGTGTACCCCCTTTGAACAATATTTTTTCCTACTTCTTATAAGAGGAAATACACACAGCTCACGATCACTGGCGTAGGGGTAGTTTTGGAATTATATGTTTTTCTTGCTGAGCTGTATTGCACGTGTGGTGTAGAGATTTGATTTTCTGCTCTGTTTGACCTGAAAACCAGCACTATTTACTCTAATTTCCATTGCATCCTTAAACGGGTAATGGATTTAGTTGTAGTACTTTTTTCTATGTCTCAGTTTGCCCCTAATTTTACACCTTTTTTACAATAAATACACTTGTACAATTTTGTAAAATCAACTAATAGTACAGCCTACTTTCAATGCCCAAAAAGGCACTACAACTGCTGATGTCACATGAAAGTGACACATGCTCTCACAATTCACAGGTGTCTCTTTTGGCATATGTGCTTTACTTAAATATTTTCTTTTTCAACATAAACTTCATAGCATACAAAAAAAACTCATTTGTGTAAACTTAATCATTACCTTTATTGTAAATTAAAATTTATCCAACTTTAGCATATTCATTTGTAAAATATTATATAAAATAATAGTAGGTCCTTTTTGGATAAACAAAATAAGCTCGTTTTGTAAATTAAAACTAAATCTTTTATTTCCGTCATTGTAACTTAAAATTGATTTACCTTTAGCATATTCATCTCAAAAATCTTATAGAAATAATAGTAATTATTTTGGGTAAAAGAATTTTGTTTATAGTAAAATAGAGTCAATTTAAGGTTAAGAAAAAGGTATTATCCATTACTATGACAAATGAATAAATAAAGAGACAATTATATACTTTATTATGCTTTTTAGTACTATGAAAAATAAAAGGTCATAATTAGATTGTGTTAATTATTACTATGATAGGGAAAGGACTCAACAAAAAATTATATACCATTATTATACTTTTCACTTACCCGTGAGAAGAAGAATGGTTTGTAAATAAATTTTACTAATTGATAAATTAATGCAACTATATATGATTATTGTTCCTTTCAATTATTGGAGGAAAAGGTCTGTTAAATTACTTATGTTCATTGTTAGTATGACAATTTGATAATTAAATAAATAAAGTGGATTATTCAATAAAACTTGTAAACGTATAAAATACTCCTATCTTGTAAACTTAAGTGACAAGAATCTTCACCCTTGGAGAGTATATATCCCGTACTTGAAAGGGGATTGAAAATTTTCAGATTAAAAACATAATCCACCTCTAAAATGGGAGAATATGAAGCTCAATAAAAATTTGACAAAAATCTCAAAATGAATTTCTTGTCTAAACGTATCACTAAAAATTTATGCTATAGATAAAAAAGATAGAGTATTTATTTTGATAAAAATATCAAAATAACTTTAAATGAATTTTGTGTCTAAGTTGGCAACAAATCTTTTATGTTATTAAAAAAAAAGGCCAAATACTTAAACAGCCACATAAACTTGGTTCCAATTTTTATTTTCGCACTTCAACTCACACTAGTACCAATTGAACACTCCAACTTCAATAAAAATATACCCATTACATATAAACAATAATGTGGCAAAATCAGTATTCTTCATCGCACGTGAATGAGTCTCAAATTAGATTTTTTCCTTTACTTTTCCAAAAAGGCACATCTTTTTTTTTTCTTTTTATTCCTCATCTCTCCTGCCACAAAATCAACCTTTCCTTTTTCCCTTCTCTCTTCTTACGATCACTGCTCCACTGGTACACCTTAAATAATTCACCAATCAATTATAATAATAGCAATAATTTTCTAATCTAACACAAAGAACATTAAATAAAATAGAAAAAAATTGCTCTTGGCATTACATGAACAGAATAACGTCGGCGCCCAAACTAGTGTTCGCCGGTAATGAGAATTCCGGTATAACTATCATGGCCAAGGTCATCCTCTTTCCTTTTGCATTTCACTATTCTCATCTTCTTTTTCAAAATTCTTATGGCCTTCTCCTCAAGATCTGGGTTTAGAGCTTATTTACTTATCAATTTTCAATTCATTCTTCATTTTTCTATTTATTCTTTTTGGTTAGATTAAAAAATAGTTGTCGATTATACTGATAGAAGGATCTAACAGTCGTGTGAAGTGGGGGAGAAAGATAAAGGTGGGTCTGGCAAGAGGAAGACGTGGTTGTGGTAGGGGGGAGGTGGTGCGGCGAAGGCCGATAGAAAAAAGTTTGAAAATCGTGGGGCTGGGAGCCATGGAAGGAAACGGGGTCTGAAAAGGGATGTTCTCGGGAACCTTAAAATTGTGAAGGTGGTAAAAATTGAAATATTGGGGACATGATAGCGGCTGCAATGGAGTTACAGAAGAAGTTATTTTGCTATCTTGTTTTTCTTTTGTTTTGTTTCCTTCTTTTTTTGGGTTTTCTCATAGCACTTTTTTTTTATCTTCAAAAGCCATATGGCATTTTTTGGTTAGTCCATTTTGCCACGCTGTTGTGCGTGCAGTTCACGTGGCTGAATTTACTTAGGCATTTTACATGAGGTATTTATTATGTATACATTATTGAAGTTGGAGTGTTCAATTGGAACTAATGTGAGTTGAAGTGCCAAAATGAAAATTGGAGCCAAATTTAAATGATCGTCTAGGTATTTGGCCAAAGAAAAATTATGCCATTCAGCATAACTTAACAAAAACTTTGCTCATGCTAATTAGCACAACTTGCTCATAAAACAAACTCCTTCTAAAATTTGATTTCTAAGTAATAGTTGGACCAACAAAATTATATAACAAAATTCTTTTCAATTATTTAGGTGATTTAAGATTATAAAATCTGAAGAGGTTCTTTAATAAAAAAAATAATATGATGAATTAAATTAAATAGTTGTCCATCTAAC